GGAATTATTCAAAAAACAACCACGCGCACTATAATTTGAAACCGATAGTAGTAGTTAGGATGCTGCTTGTGGTAATTTTTTTTATTTTGCCCTTTATATTGTTCACAAGTAGCCAGACCCAATCTATTTGGAAGAAGGACGTCACTTTCTTTAGTCTCTTAATCCTTCTTTTTCAAAAACAGAGCTTCCTTTTGTTTTAATAAAAAACGATTATAGAGTCTTATAATTAGATGGCGATCAAGTTTGCAGACAGTACCTTTGAAATACAAAACGAACTTCATAATCACTCAAATGAACATTAACTAACTTCTTTTGCCTTATTTGAATGCTCACATGATACTTTAGCAATTCTTTTGGGAGAACTACAAACGAATAGGTAGAGATATCCCAGCGATAAATAAATACAGACTAAATCAACTTTTTGTACAGAACTTACACTAAAATATGTTTCTTTTTCATAAAATCCGGTATCAGTTGTATGTTGAAATCCTGCTTGACCTAAAACCTAGACAATAAAGCCTATTTTCTCTATTTTCTTTAAATTAATTTACCGTACTTTTAATCCATTTTCACATTTTGCTTGAATATTAGTCATAGCTGTACCATGAAAAGCCAAAATTGGATAAGAATATTCTTCACCACGTTTTTTCTTTAGTTCTTCACGTGCTTTACTAAATCAAATAAATGATAAAAGGTAATTAGAAAAACGAATCATTTATTAAATTCCTACTTAAATTGTTCGATTAAAACTGGATTACAGATATATTCGTTTTTCGCTACCATTGCTCTAAAAATAAATAAACCTTAAAGATTAAATATTTTTGATTGAATTACTCACGTAGTATGTTCACTTAATAAACGATAAAATTGTGATTCAGCTAGACGAAAATGAACTTCAGCAACTGAACCTATTGAATAATAAATCAAGTTAACTGAATAAAAGAAAAACTTTCGCTTTATTTGCCTTGTTTATGATTTCGTTCGGATAATAGTTCAAAATATTTAACATCAGTGCTTTTAAGAATTTCTTCTTCATGTTCCATGAATAATACATCTATACTAATCTTAAGATACAAAATCTTTTTATGTGAAATAAAAAAGAGAATAAGAATAATCTACTTTGCTTAGTTGTTCAATTTCTTTAATTTTTCTTGTAATTTTTCTTTTGATTCAAATGTCTGAAATTAAACTTTCAAATAAATAAATATTCATTTTTATCTTCACTTTTTCAATCATTAATCGTTTTTCATTATCAGTCATTTTCGAAAATGTTTTTTCAAGTTTAACATCATATGGACTTTCCTACATAAGAATTTTCTATGAAACACGATTAAATATATTTTATTAACTTAGATCATCTGAATCATATCTTCTATTTTATCTCCATCATCCTCTTCTTCGCTTTCTAGTTTCCATTTTTTTTATTAGTAGTTATTTCCATCTTTCTATTTGGTTGATTATTTTCTTCTTCATCATCACTATTGATATCTAGATTAAGAAAATCAAATGCATGACGATATTCTGAAAAATGTAATAAATTTTTTTGATAACATGTATCATCAAATGGACATACTGGTAATGTTTTATCAATATCTAGAATAAACAGATATGATTTCAAGGAAAGAAATGAATTTTCAGAGAACCGATTTTAGATATTTTCGAAGTAGTGGAAGTCGATACAGTATCAAAATGTGAAAATTCTTTGACATGAGTTGGATTTTTACAATAACATTTGTTATCTAAAAGTAGGAATATATATAGGCGAGCAACTAACTGATGTTTTTATTAATTGGTCCATCTAGAATCTGAATCGATACTGGTTCCATTCCTCCTTTTTTTCTCAAGCAAAATTGTTTCTTGGAATTTTTTTGTTCAAGAGTGCGATGGTTTTATTCACTGTTATTGGTTGAGTTAATACTTCTTGAAGATATTTTAATTTATATGCTTGTTTTTATCTGTAACTCATGATTTATTTATATCCTTTACAAAAAAACCTATCATTAGAAGAAGCAAAAAGAAAACCAACATTAGTAGAAGCAAAAAAAACCAACATTAGTAGAAGCAAAATAACCAACATTAGTAGAAGCAAAAAAACCAATATAAGTAGAAAAAAAACAAAACCAACAGTAGAAGAAGCAAAAAAACCTACATTAGGAGAAGCAAAAAAGAATTCTACATCAGCAGAAGCAAAACCGAAAGCCAAAAAAAATATTTTTATAAATAAACGAATTATATTTGAAATTGATCAAGTGATTTATCACATTGTTTTCGTACTTTTAAGTGTTCACCAGGATTATGAATGCTTGCTTGTGCAGCATTAAGTGAAGAATTATCTAAAATAATACAAAATAAAGATTAAATAGAAATTATTCGTTTTTCTTACCGATATTAAATCGATAATCATTTAAATTACACATAGCTATTTCGAAACCTTGTCCTTGTTTTCCAATAAGATTTTCACTAGATACTTGACAATCATCCATGTACTTATATAAAAAAAAATAATAGATACTATTTTTATAAATAAATGAATTATTTATACTTGAAATTGGTCAAAAGATTTATCAAATTGTTTTCGTACTTTTAAGTGTTCACCAGGATTATGAATGCTTGTTTGTGTAGCATCAAGTGAAGAATTATCTAAAATAATACAAAGTAAAGATTAAATAGAAATTATTCGTTTTTCTTACCAATATTAAATCGACAAGCATTTAAATTACGAATAGCTATTTCAAAACCTTGTGTTTCTTTTCCAATAAGATTTTCAATATATACTTGATAATCATTCATAATTACTTCTTTTGTTTGTTGTGAATTATATCCAATCTAAAATAATAAACAAAACTATTTCATTGAAAAATCTATAAACAAAAAACTAACTTTTTCTTCTTCTGTTTTACCAAATGATAATCGTGATGTATCTTTTTCGAAGAGTATACATGACATACCTAAAAATATTGTAAAACAACAATTCACTCAAAAAAAGAAAACGTACAAAAAACAATCACGAAAAACACCAATGCTGCCGAGATTGATGTTGTTGATGATGACGATGATGATGAAGATAATGATGAAGATGGTGAGTGAGATCTTGATGATGTTGACGCTGATAAATCATTGGTGATCTCCCCATAAGGAAGAACACCACCGGCGTCACTAGCACCAAAACCACCAACAGCATTAAGAACACCAACAACACCAGCCTCAACACTATTAACACCACCAACAACAACATCACCAGCACCGCCGACATCAGCAGAACCGGCAAGACCAATAGATGCCGCATGACCAGGTAAATTAGGTAAATTTCCATGAGGAACAACTGCAGCATTGTTATACAATAAAACATTAGCTAAACCTTGTGGTGGATGGTAATATTGATTCTAAACCAAAGATTATATAATTCAATACCAAAATCTAATTTGACTTACTCGTATAATTACAGCAGACAAATCAAGTGGCATATGTGGTGGCATCTGAAAAAAAGAAGAAATTATCAGATAAAAATGGTGAAGCGTGAGAAAATAAAACAATTTGAAACAGGCAGTGAAGAATGAAAATAACTAAAACTATACACAACTGATGAACTATATAGACAAAGACACATACAGACAAAGACTTCAATGTAGTTTTGAACTACTATTAATTACATTCGATTTTTCTTAAAAACTAAACAAATGACAAGTTATATGAAAAAATTAATTTTTCCAGAAAAATTATGATTATATTCTACTTTTTATGTATTGGCAAGTAGCGACCTCTGTATTATCGGTAGTCTATATAAGAATCAGACATTTGTTGACTTAACGGAAAATATAGAAGCATTACTAACAGACATTTTTTTCAATTTAAACACTGAAACGAAAAACAATCAATTTAGTTTTATTTTTAATAGTTTTCCTTTTCAAGATGAGATATACCTAGGATCCACAAATTCGCAATTCAAGAAAATTCAAGGAATTCATTCGAGTAATATCCGCAAAAGGCAATCATGACATCAACGTATGTTGGAATTCAGGGATGTATAGAAAATGAAGAAGATGGTGGAGAATTCCACCAATTCATGGAATTCAGGTCAGATTTTGATCTTTGAGAGGTGTAAACTTAAAATATGATGAGCTTGGCCGATTTGAATAAACGCATGCAACTTTGAGAGGTGTTGCATAATCCATTCTTTTTCTTTGTAAAATAAAATATTGCTGTCTTATGATATATGTTGTTCTTCTTCAAAATATATCTCATGAGTAATGACATTTCGGCGATCATCATTACACTTGTCAAGAATGATTCAGTTTAATGTAACTGAAATTCTTTCAATTTTTATTATAATCAAAACGGAACCTGTTAATACCAAGCATGAAGATTATATTAGAATGTTTTAGAAAAGAAATTTTAGACCATTGAATGTATTTAGAAGAGACGGGAAGACATATTTTTGCCAAAAAATCTCTTTATATAAAAATGAATTTAAATAATAAAATGGACTGATTATTAAAGAAACTAACATTTTCTTTTTATTGTTTAAGAAAGAGACACGAAAAAAAAATTGATGAACAAAAGATGCCATCAATCAATGAAGAATTAAGATTATACTTACGATATTGTTCTGTATATTCATCCGAACCATCTTCACAATCATCCTTTAAAAAAACGAAATATTGAAAATTTTTCAAAAAACAAAACAAAATAGAAATTCTTACTTCATGATTGCACATCCATGTTTCGGCAATATAATCATCTTGTGCCATACTACAAAATTCTGTTGATGTAAAATTTCATGCACCTACAATCAACATCATTTAACATTTTCTATCAATTAAAAAATTCTAACTACAACTTGCTGGTTCATCAAATCCATTCATACAATCTAAATTTATTCAGATAAAATTTCTTTCTATTTAAATACTCGTTTTAACTCAATGAATATTACAATATGAAGCCTATTTGAAAGAAAAAAACAATTAACTATTAATAAATTTTCTCTTCGATTTTTAACTTACATTTGTTATACAAGTTGATCCACAAACGAAAGTAATCTATTTGACAACACGACGGTATTCTATCACCACAATACATTGATCATCATCATTCATCGATTGATAATCTAAACATATCAATTAAATCTTTCAATCATTTTATTAAAAAACAAACTATCTCATACCAGCAATCTTATCATACTGTCGTGTTGCATTTATACAACGACGATCATGTGAACATAAAAATTGTTCACTTCCATGTGAAATTAGTGAACAATCAACTTCTGCAAAAATTTATACTCAATAAAAACAAAGAGCTTCTTTTTTTCCTACGAGAGGCGTGTTCAAGGGAAAAAATTCAGCAATTATACTCTTTTCTCTGTAATTATACTCTTTTCTCTGTAATTATGCTGAATTTCTCTACAATTATACTCGTACCTATACAAATAGGCTAAAGC